CTAGAGTTTGTTCATGAACTTGTCTTAAACTTCTCTCCCCAAACTAAACAAAAACACATCACAAAATGGGTCTCACTTCTCTTCAAGTTTGCATGGATTCGGATTGGCTCCAGGTATTTTTCACTTTAGACCTCGATTGTTTTGTATTTACGTTTACAATTTAGCCTACATTTACGTATGTATATGTTTCTTATCTACTTGAACACAAAACTTCAAATATTATAAGCAAATTTTGTTAAATTAATGTAGAGATAAAATGTCAAATACGAGTGGAAGATCTGTTTGTGTTTGACATGCACTTGGAAATTGAAATTATTTTCTATTTTAAAGTGTGAATTAACCTTTTTGTAAATGATTTTTGTTTCGTTTTGTCTCAAGTAAGTGGAAATGCAAAAGAAAAAAATTAGGATTGAACCACTTTAGACCCCATACTCATCTTGAACCATCGTTTTTGGCGTCCAAGTGATGCATTATAATTAATAATACAAGTTCGATTACATAGAAATTACATATTCTTACATGGTTTTGTAAAATTGTAATGTTAGGAAGCTGAGTCATCAGGAGGAAGCATGTTAGACTCTTCAACGACTTCTCCATCAGCAGCCGACATACTAGCTGCTTGCGGCACTAGACCACAAGCCTCGGCCGTGGCTGTAGCCGCCGCGGCTCTGATGGACGGAGGAAGGAGGCTACGTCCACCTCACGACCATCCTCAAAAGTGTCCTCGTTGCGAGTCAACACACACTAAGTTCTGTTACTACAATAACTATAGCCTCTCTCAGCCTCGTTACTTCTGCAAGACTTGTCGACGTTACTGGACCAAAGGCGGTACTCTAAGAAATATTCCGGTCGGGGGTGGCTGCCGGAAAAACAAGAAACCATCTTCTTCTAATTCCTCCTCCTCCACTTCTTCCGGCAAAAAGCCATCGTCCAACATTGTTACCACTAATACAAATGACCTTATGGCTTTAGCACATTCTCATCAGAATTACCAAAATGCCTCTCTAGGGTTTTCACATTTCGGTGGGATGATGGGGTCTTACTCAACTCCAGAGCATAGTAACGTTGGTTTCTTGGAGAGCAAGTATGGCGGTTTGCTTTCGCAGAGCCCTAGACCTATTGATTTCTTGGACAGTAAGTTTGATCTCATGGGAGTGAACAATGACAACCTCGTCATGGTTGATCATGGAAGTAACGGAGATCATCATAATCATCACATGGGTCTGAATCACGGGTTAGGTCTAAACAACAACAACAATAATGGTGGATTTCACGGGATTTCTCCGGGAAGCAATGGCAATGGTGGTGGTGGTTTCATGGATATCTCGACATGCCAGAGACTTATGTTATCTA